TAAAATATTGTCCTGCCGAAGGACGTGCTGCAACCCCTTGCTATCGGGAAAAGGTTCGTATAACCCTTTTGAAAACTCGGAACACCCCTCCACACCATTTCTGTTCCTCGACCTCGGCAATTAAATTACACAAAAGCTGGGGCGAGTTTAACGAATGGAAAGCGAGCACAAAAGAAGGCAAAGACGTAAGAAAATAATTTATCCGTTTTTCCTGTAGTATAAACCAAAAGAGCTAAGAAGCTCATGACATTTAGATTTGCCTTTCTGGATACTCATTTAAAATGATTAAAGTTGAACTGATGATTTTGGATACTTGATGGATTTGGTTACTTGCTTTTATTAGGAAACCATCGAGGTACAACATTGAACCTTCTTTAACACTGCCACGAAATCCAAATCGAGCAGATATTTACAATATAACCTTATAACTTTGCAGTTCAACAACGTTGAAGGGGAGATGCACGCGATTTTAAATAAACTGATTTGAGTTGGCGTCCGTCTTTCTACTTGTGCTAGAAAACGACCATTTCCTTTTTTGGCGAGACGTTGATGGAAGTACCGTATCCTGTACCTAAGAAAGGAATTCTTTGGGTTGCTAACGTAACGAAGCGTAACGTAACGTCAAAGGTAGCTGACGTCATTTAAACCCGTTAAAACGGGAAATTTATCCATAAAACTGTTATGTTATTCTTCAATTTAATTTTAATCTAAAATATTCTGAAAGGTTGCTCAGCTGTTTGCCGTTTCAACAAGTATTTATTAATACATTTTGATAAAGAATAAATTTAATTGGCTAACTTAGTACTGAAGAGTAGAAGAGTAGAAAACGACCATTTTCTTTTTTGGCGAGACGTTGATGGAAGTACCGTATACCGTACCTAAGGAAGGGATTCTTTGTGTTGCTAACGTAACGTAACGTAACGTCAAAGGTAGCTGACGTCATTTAAACCCGTTAAAACGGGAAATTTATCCACAGAACTGTAATGTTATTCTTCAATTTAATTTTAATCTAAAATATTCTGAAAGATTGCTCAGCTGTTTGCCGTCTAAACAAGTATTTAATAATAAATTTTGATAAAGAATAAATTTAATTGGCTAACTTAATACCGAAGAGTACATTTATGTCAAACTTCATTTTGTTTGTTCAGGTGAACCGCAAGGGTTTTTTATATTCCCTTTTCACCCTGACAAAGCGTTTTTTCCGCTCCTTTACGACTTGGCCATTTCCATTTTTCTAGGCGCCTTAGCTGCTTCTGTTTCTGTTTCTGCTCTTTCTCCCGCTTTTTATATCTCCTGCTCATTTTCGTTAATTTGTCATTGTAATTTTATTCGTCGCTCCCCGGCTTTTTCCTACAGTCTTGTGCATAAATCAGCGTTCAGTGAGGCGCTCATAATCAGTCAATGGCCTTGCAAAATTATGCAGCCTGCTGCCTGACCACCCCCTTTCCCTCTCTTCCCTCCTTGTTTATGTATTTTTTTTCACTGCATTTCGTTTTGTTTTATTGCTGTGACAAGCAAGTTCCGCATTTTGCCTTTTGCGGCTGGGCTTTTTACATAATTGATTATCTGGCCTCTGACTAGACTTAAATTTCTGCAGCTCCAACTGACTCTCCGCCTCGATTGCCATTATCATCTTCGTCATAATCAGCAATTGAGCAACTACATATCTTCTCTGCTTCTTTTCTTTTACCTGTTTTCGTCGCTGTCTTCAATTCGATTTGAACTTTCAGAGATTTTCCGTAAACTGCATCTGACAAAGACTGTAATTTTACTTGCTCTACGAACTGTGGAAAAACTTGGGCCAGCGCAAAAGAGAATTGGTTGAAAGAAACCGAGTAAGAAGCAGAAGCACATCGGAGTGGAGTTGGCGTGGAAATGTGCAGTATAGGAAAAGCTTTTCCACTGAACTCAACCAAAAACAACTGCCAAAAACTGACAAAGTGAAGTCGGAGAACTAGTTTCGGGCGCAGTTCTACTTTATATTCGATGTCTCTTTGTCTTATTAGTTTTCCAGTCGTGTTCGTCTTGAACTAATTTGTTTTTTGCCCTGGTTTTGGACAAATGTTTCAAGTTAAGTTTTAAAAAAATCTGTTACTGAAATCGGAAAAAACGGGCCACCCACCGTAACCGACACCGAAAAGCATCTCCAGAAAAGAGCAGTGTGGAGGGTTGAGCAGCTGCCAGCTGAAGGCACATTAATGCACCTGTGCCATATGACAGACGCCATTGGCAGCCTTGCGGATAAAGGATCCGCTGGAGAAAATAATGCTGGCAAGGGGGGACGAGGCGGAGGCCAGGGGGAGTGGATTGGGTAAGCAGTTGTGGGTGCCGACAAGTTGACAGACTGCCAGAGTGTCAGGGGCGAAGGATACCGGGACATTTCAAAGAACTGCCGTTTCGAAGGAATCCGGAAAAAGAAAAACGCCGGATGAAGCGGAAACTGTGAGATATTGAACAGCTCTTTAAGGTCTTAAGTTTGCCAATGCTTATGATTATTTTAACGAGCTTCATCCAGAAAAACCTTTAAGAACAAATTTAATCGTCATTCTATGCAAATCCCCTATAATGCCATGACATTAAATTAGTCTTTCCCTTCGAACATTCCACCAGTCTCAACTAGCAGTCCGTGTCTCCTTCTAGCCCCAAATAGGTGTTAAAATGTGCTTTATAATGACGCATATTTCATATGCAAGGCGAGCATTTGAATCCGCCTCCTCACTGCCCTTCTGTGGCCCACAATCGACAAATGTTTTGCTATTTGTTTTTGCTTGAGCTTTATGCTCTTCCCACGGATGTACAAACAGAAATTTTCACGAGTTTTCATGTAAACACATTTGTTGGGTTTCCCAACATCAAGTTAAAGTTTGCTAGGAGTTGGGTTTTTCTCTAAATGTGTTCTTTTTACAAGTGATGCTGCCAGTTTCGAGATTAGTTTCATTCACAGCTGATTTATTTCTTTATCTAAAACCCCATTTTTTTCTCCCAGTGTATTCCCCACTGGTACTCCCACTCATGCGTATCTGTGTCTTATTTAGCGTTGAATTTGTTGCACTCCCACAGGACTCGATTTGCCATTTGGAACACCTGCGACACGTAGAGCATTTGGCTGTTCCACAGTTGTTGTTGTTGTTGTTGACGTTGTTGTTGTTTGCGCTGCTCCCGACGGCGCCTTCAATTGCTTAGAGGGAATTTAAGAAAATTGTCCTCGTCATTTTTAAACACTGCTGAGAAAGTTTTTTTTTTTTGCCTTAAATGAGGACTGGACAAATTAACTAATTTTATTTACATGCAAATCACATTTTCAAACAACTAAAAACAGCCGCGGCAACAACTTTTCTCCATTAAAATGTTTACAAAATTAAGAAAATTGACAATTTCCGCCGTCCTGGGCGGGAAAAGCTCAAGGAAAATAATACAAATTGAAACTTGCTGGCTGGCGATGGTGCCCCGTGCTCCACCTTTGAGGCTCCTGCAATTGTTTTGGCTGCCCGCGCGCTCTCTCTCCATTACGCAGTGTCCCAGTTTTCTGACACGCCCCTCGAGGGGCGGTAGCGAAAGGAGGGGAGGGGGGCAACCTTTTGCCACGGCAACAACGAGCCGCATATTTAAATTTTAATTAAAATTTTCTCAGGGCCTGCCTGTTTGCCTCCCTTCAACGCGTTGTGTTCCCATTTCGCATTCGCGCGCCTAAAAATATGCAAATAAAAATTGCCTTTGTGCGAGGCTCGTCGGAAGAGAAAAGGGATCCAAAAGGACTGAGTGGGAAGTGGGAAGTGGATCCTGCTCTGATTTCTGATAACCTTTTTGTCGAGGGCTTCGTGACGACCTCAGGGAAAACTGGAGCTCAGAGCTTGTGGTTCTGCAACGAGCGGGAATTAATTATCTCCTGCTGACGCGACAACAGAGCTATCTATAACTGTCGGGTCAATAGCGAAGCCGCATTGTGTTTAATTTAGTCAGTTTAATAGAATACAATCATATTCAAAAACCGCACTTGAAGTTGTGGTTAATGGTTAATGGTTAAAAGATAGTTGATTTTAACTGTTATGTTTTAATAATATCTTATGTGGTATTATTTAGTCTTGTTTTTGTTTTGTGTTAAACTGGTTTTGTAAATGAGAATCAGTTAGTATATTTTTGCTTGTCACATGTGGCTGTGTATCTATAGGATACTATCTATCTATCTTCTATCGAAATGTATGCATCTGGGCACACTTTAAGCAACTTGATTCACGTGCTTGAAATATGTGAAGGAAATTGATATGGCAGTGGCTGCTGTCCTCGTTTCTGCACCCCCCTCAGACGATTCTTCTGCAACTGCAAAGGAAACCTACTCCCCTTGCATTTCGTTCCGTTTTTTCCACAACTTGTTCCTTCTTCTCCCTTTGCTCTTCGAAATCTGTTTTCGACTGGTGGTATTTTTCGGTTAACTCCGAATGGAGTGGGGTGGGGTGTGGGGTGTTGGAGAGGGGGATTGAGGGGTTCGTGTGTCTGCCCCGGTTGTTAGTTGCAATCCACAAAACCGCCAAAACGAACGAGGTAAGGAACCGACTGGGCGGAGGGGGAGCAGGAGCAGGAGGGAGGGAGCCCCGAGAGAAGCCTCTCAGTTCCAGCCACAATTTGCCATGTAAATATTAATACCGGGCTAGACACGGCCGCAAGGGGCACGAGGACGAGGGACACGGAATCGGGGTATACAGCTCCGTTTGCACTCAATTTTTCAAAGCTCGTTTGTGTCGTTAGTTGGTTGGCTGGTTGCCTGGCTGGCTGGCTGGCTGGCTGGCTGGCTTTGACTTGTTCTCTGCTGGTTCTACGGCTCCACTTCTCCAGGTTCCATCCTGTTTTGGTCTATGCAAATAATGAATGCAAAATGCTGCTCTGTTCGAGTGCTGAAAAATCAGCCAAAGCTGCTGGCAGAACACACTAATCCCATTTACTTTATTGAGATGCACTAGAATTCCACAATTAATTTTCCCCAATTTACCTTTCGACTCTTGCAGATCCTGCGAAGCGGAGTGGATAGCCAAGGAGCTCGGCTTGTGAACAGTTTGCATAAGCGTGCTCGCCAAAATGGATAATTTCAATAAAATATTTAACAGTGAAAGTGAAAACGGTTGAAGTTTCAACGCAAATAAAGTACTCGTTAACCCAAAGAATGCAATTTCGAGTGCAGTAATAACATCCAGCCGTCGTCCGGCTGCCCGAACGTAAAGCAAACACAACATATTTTTACATTGATGGACATTCGACCGTAATCAAATAACAACACACAAAGGAGCAAGCCTCTCGGGAAAAAGTCGTTAAGTGCGGCCAAAGTGTATCGGAATATCCTTGTGATAAAAGCGGATTCCAGTGCAGACAATTAAGTGAAAGCCGAAGTGAAACACTCGAAACGCGTGTATTTAAGTGATAGTGGAAAAGTGGGCTTGTGAAAAGCCGAGCCCAGGTGCTCACCAGTAGAATTTAACAGTTAGGGTTAAGCTATGCCAAGGCGCCACTAGGGAAATATGGAAAAGCGGCTCAGCGGCAGTCCCGGAGATTGTCGCGTAACCAGATCCAGCATGGCGCCCGCGCTGCGCCTGGAGCAGAATCCCCGCCAGGAGCCCCATCCGAAGCAGCCGGAGGCAGCCGGCGGCAAGTCCAAGTCCCCCACCCCGCTGCCCGGCAAGTCGCAGGCGGCCCAGCACCACCAGTTCCGCGCCCCGCAGCAGCAGCAGGGCCCCAAGAACCGCAACAAGGCCTGGGGCAAGCGGCAGCACAAGGCCGGCGGCAAGCACAACGCCAGCGCCTGCGTCGGCGCCAGCAGCGCCCAGGCCCAGTCCGCGGGCTCCTCCGCCCCGGCCACGCCCCTCCTGCCCACGGGGGCGGCGGCAGCCCACAAGGCCGATCTCGAGAACATCCAGAACATCCAGAACAAGAATCAGGTTGCCGCCGGTGGCGTCAGTCATCATGGCAACGCCGGAAACGCCCACCACGGAGGCGGTGGCGGCGGCGGCGGTGGCGCCCACCATGCGGGAACGGGAGGCGGTGGACACCACCACCACCACAATACGCGGCTGGCGCAGAACTCCGCCGCGGGAGGAGCCGGCGGGGGAGGAACCATGCAGCTCTACAAGAAGATGCTGACGCACAGGTGAGTGCTGGAATTTTGCAGGATTTCGGAAGGGGATTCCGAAACTAGGCAGGCTGGGATTCCGACCAACTAGGAGAAGATAAACCACGAAAAGGGCTCTAAAGGGAGACAACTAAATTTCCGGAGATCATGGAGTGCTTTTGTTAAAAGGTCTCTATTGCTTTAGCCCACTTACTAAAAGGTTAATCAGGTGACTAATTAGCTTTACTTCGCACTGAAGTATGCATACTTTTCTGTCTTTCAATAAAATTTAGTTTCCTCACAGGGGATCGTAGTTTGTGGTTTCATAAAAGGTAAAATTGTTTTGTTTTTAAGATACATAAATATTGTTTAAATATTCAGGGTTTTGCGGTCATGATTAAGAATCCGTAGTTCAAAATTGGCGTCAAGAGTGATTTTATTAAGATTTTGTCACTATTTATAACTGCTAGGTATTCAATAAGCAAAAGGGTAAAAAAAACAACTTCGACTTTCTGAACTAAGCTTTTATTATTGTTAAATTCGCTGGTTGCTTTTATTATTGTTAAGTTCGCTGGTTGCTTTCTATGGGATGTGGAAATGGATACGTAAATATCAGAGCATATCATGACAATTTAAAATAAAAAGGAGTAGCCAAAATAAATACAGTCAAGTCCCGATAATTCGAAATGCCAAAGGTGATGACTTTTTTTTTACGAATTAGATGGGAATTCAATTTATCGAGATTTCTATTTAACGGGGCTCAAAAATGAAAGAGTCGATTAAACGGGGTTTTTACATTTCACATCATGTTTACATATGTACATATTTAACTTTATTAAAATTAAACAAAAATTATAAGTATGTACATTCATTTGTACGTTTTTTAAATTAAAGCAAAATTAAACAATAACAAAATTATAACAGCGAGAGAAACACCAAATTCATGATGCATAGCGACAAAAAGGCGGCATATCTGTCTGCAAAATCTAACGGTGCTACAAAAAATTTCGCATCGCATTACGATTTATAAGAGGTTACGAAACAAAATTACGATTTATAAGAGGTTCAATATTCTTTGCGTTGCGCCAAATACTTCGAATTAACGAGGGGTCCAAAATGTATGGAATTTTTACGAATTAACGATTTTTTTTCAAGGGAACAGAATTTTTTTTTTTACGAATTTTCGCGATTTTCGATTTAGCGGGGTACGAATTATCGGGATTCGACTGTATTATAAAAGTATTTTTTATGCCTCAAAGCTGGTCTTCAGATCAGGTTAAAAGTCTCAAGTTGAGTCCTTGGCATCTGCAACTCTAATCCGTGTCCTTTTCTTCTTCTTCTTCTTCTTCGATTCTCTCCCAGGGGTCACCACCATCACGTGCTGTGCGCCGGGAACAATGCGAACCACACCTGCTGCCTGGTGACGGGCTGCAACGGCAGCTCGGCGGGCGGAGCGGGAGTGGCCGGGGGCGCTGGCGGAGTGGCAGGGGGCGGGGCAGCGTCCTGCAAGGAGGCGCAGAGCAGCAAGGACACCAGCTCGCTGAGCGGCAACAGCAGCATCGCGGGCAGCGTGGGGGCGGGCAACGCGGTGCACTACTGCTGCGGCCGCTCCAAGTTCTTTCTGCCGGAGAAGCGACTGCGCAAGGAGGTGATTGTGCCGCCGACCAAGTTCCTGCTGGGCGGCAACATCTCCGACCCGCTCAACCTCAACTCGCTGCAGAACGAGAACACGTCGAACGCCTCGTCCAGCAACAATACTCCGGCGACCACGCCCCGCCAGTCGCCCATCACCACGCCCCCGAAGGTGGAGGTGATCATACCGCCCAACATCCACGATCCGCTCCACCTGCTGGATCCCGTCGACTCGATGGAGTACGAGAAGCAGCTGACGTCGCCGATGAAGCGTGGCGGAGGCGGGGGCGGGGGAATGCTGCACCACCGGCAGCACCACCACCGCACGCGGAAGAACCGCAAGCGGCGTCGCTTCGACTCGAACAACACCTCGCACGCAGGGGACGAGGGCGGCGGTGGGGGAGAGCTAGGCGACGAGCCTCTGCCCACGGCCACCTCTTCGCTGGCGGCGTCGCCGGTGGCAGCGCCCGTCAACGTCGGCGGCAGTCTGCTGCTGAGCGAGTCCGCTGCTCCGGCGACAGGCGAAACGGCGGAAACGGGCCACCAGCAGGCGCATGTGCACTCTCCGCAGTCGGCGTCTACGTCGACATCGACCGCAGAAATGCCCACACCTACGCCGACCGAGACAGCGACAGCAACGGCGGCCGAGGAGCAAGTGGAACAGACCGCAGCGCCGACAGCGACGTCGTCGCCGCAGCAACATGTGGCTAATGTTTCGAATGAAGCGCCCTCGGCTGCACCGCCTTCTGCTGCTGCTGAGCCGCCGGCAGATGAGATGCTGCTCAGCTGCTCGGCCACGTCGGCCACAATGGCAGTGGCGTCGACGCTGGCAGAACGTCGGGCGCAGGCCAGCCGAGACCTGAGACTGGATTTAGCGAGCACGTGCTACGGCGTCGGCGGCACGGGACTGAGCTTCGGCAGCAGCAGCGCTGCCAGCGTGGGCAGCGGCGGAGGTGGAGGCAGTGGCAGGAAGAGGAAAATCAGCGAGAGCAACAATTCGCAAAAGAGCAAGGTGAGTATGAACGCGGAACGTGGTGGCAACGAAACTGGTTTTAATGAGTGGGGAGCAGAGAGAGAAAGTTTGTGGATTGTGGAAGGGGCTGGAGGAGGGTGAGGGAGAGCACCCGTTGTTGTTGCGGTTTGGCAGCAAGTCAATCGCTGCTTTTGTTTTGATTGCTTTTGTCAGTTTTCCGTTTCCCGATTTCGGTATTTTGGCTTTGCCACATTGTTTTTGGAAATGACTACCAGATTCCCAAACCCCAATACCACGTAAATAGAAATACATATGTGTATATTATTTAATTCGGCAGACCTAACTAGCAACTATTATAAATTAAAAAATAATATGAATACAAACAAAAAAAATTAGATAACTTAAAAAAAAAAGAAAATTTAGGGAAAAATAAAGCTATACATATTTGCAAAATATCTGATATCAAATCAGTCAGATACTTTGTATTTGTTTACTTGTTTTTCTTTTTGTTTATGTACATATGGTACATACAAATGTAAAAGGCAAAACTAACTCGAGGGTCTGAAGGCATAAGTTCTAATAATAATTATTTTTCTTCTTTAAGTTCGACTCTGTTTAAAGAACGAACAGTCCACTTGAAAAAAAATTGGAATTTGTTTTGTATTCAGATTCAGGCAGTAGCAAAAGCAGAACTATTAAATTTTAGAGTCCAACCAACGGGTACTCAAACAGGAATCGATTACTTTTCCCGCAGAAATTCCATCGACACGATGCCATGGACAAGATCGTCAGTCCGGTGGTGCCGCAACCCGGCGCCTGGAAGCGGCCGCCGCGCATCCTGCAGCCCAGCGGAGCCAGGAAGCCCAACACGCGCCGGTCGACGTCCTTCAGCGAGTCGGAGCTGCTGAGTCCCGTCGAGGAGCTGCCGCCAAAGCAGTTGCCCCTTATCGAAGGTGAGTCCCCTGATCCCCGAAAGAGAGTATCCCCTTTAAACCCGAATCCTGATCTCTGATCTTGCAGTGGAGATTCCCCGGGACGACACGCCCGACCTGCCTGATCACGGGCTGGGCAGTCCGCTGAGCACCACCTCGGCGGCCACCTCGCACACGGCCGGCGAGCAGGATTCCCTGGCCGGAGTGGACACCAGCATGGCCGATGGACCGGCAGTGCCCGGGAGCGCAGCCCAGGCCCCAGTGACCAGTACGCTCATGCTGGAGCCGGCCCTGATTCCCCCGCTCAAGGTGCTGCCCAAGTTTCGGGCCGACGGGCTGAAGTACCGCTACGGCAACTTCGACCGCTACGTGGACTTCCGGCAGCTGAACGAGTTCCGGGACGTGCGCCTGCAGGTGTTCCAGCGCCACGTCGAGTTGTTCCAGAACAAGGACATCCTGGACATCGGCTGCAACGTCGGCCACATGACCATCACGGTGGCCAGGCACCTGGCGCCCAAAACCATCGTCGGCATCGACATCGATCGCGAGCTGGTTGCCCGGGCACGACGGAATCTGTCGATCTTCGTGAGAATCCCCAAGGAGGAGAAGCTTCCGGAGGTCAAGGTGGAGGTGACGGCCGAAGGGAAGGCGGACTCAACGCCGCCCGAGAAGGCGGAAGCCAATTGCGAGGAGGACGCTTCGGGAGCTGCTCACAAGAAGACGAGACGCGGCAAGAAGCGACGCAAGGTGCAGCAAGCAGCCCTGCACCAGCATCACCATCACCACCACCACCATCACCACCACCATGACCTGGAGCAGCTGCAGCAGCAGCAGAAGCTGGACGCCCTGCTCGTCAAGCCGCACGAGTTCTTCCCCATCTCGTTCCCGCTGACCTACGGCGGAGTGCCCCATCTGCCGCTGGCGGGCAAGTCGCCGCACATGCTCGGCAACAAGAATTTGTTCCCGGCGAACGTCTTCTTCCGACACACCAACTATGTGCTCAAGGACGAGTCGCTGATGGCCAACGACTCGCAGCAATACGATCTCATCCTGTGTCTCTCCGTCACCAAGTGGATCCATCTCAACTTCGGGGACAACGGCTTGAAGATGGCCTTCAAGCGCATGTTCAACCAGCTGCGTCCCGGCGGCAAGCTCATCCTTGAGGCCCAGAACTGGGCCAGCTACAAGAAGAAGAAGAACCTAACGGTGAGTTAGTTAACTACATTTTCCCCTTACTTCTTCCTTATGAAGAGCACTTGGTAACGCTTATCCTTGTCCACCATTGCAGCCGGAGATCTACAACAACTACAAGCAGATCGAGTTCTTCCCCAACAAGTTCCACGAGTACTTGCTCAGCTCGGAGGTGGGATTCAGCCACAGCTACACTCTCGGAGTGCCGCGGCACATGAACAAGGGATTCTGCCGACCCATCCAGGTGGGATACTGATTAGTCTGTTGGTCTATTTGTAAACTAACCATTGCCCTTATGTCTTACCCCCATCAGCTGTACGCGAAGGGGGACTACACGCCGAACCACGTGCGCTGGAGCGACGCCTACTACCCGCAGACCCCCTACGAGGCGTACCGCGGCATCTACGCGACCCTGCCCGCCCATCGGATGGGCGGCGGGGGCAGCAGCGCGGGCGGCAGCCACAGCGGGCACGCCCACCTGCTGCTCAGCAGCTCCAGCCGGTCGCAGAACTACGACACGCCGCACTACGCGGGCAGCGCCTCGGGCTCGGCCAGCTGCCGGCAGACCCCGATGTACCAGCCGACGTACAACCCCCTGGAGACGGACTCGTACCAGCCCAGCTACGACATGGAGTATCTCAACCACATGTACGTGTTCGCCTCGCCGCTCTACCAGACCGTCTGGTCGCCGCCGGCCTCGCTGCGCAAGAGCAGCTCGCACACGCCGGTCTTCGGGAGCGTGCGCGACGCGGAGCTGGACGGCGAGGGCAGCGGGGGCGGGGGCAGTGGCGGCGGCAGCTACCACCGGCACGTCTACCCGCCGAACGACGACACCTGCTCGCCGAACGCCAACGCGTGCAACGCGTTCAACTCGATCCGCGACGCGGACACGGACGACTCCAACCAGCTGCCCGGGGGCAGTCGGCGACATGTGTACGCCACCAACTGCGGGGAGAGCTCCTCGTCGCCGCAGGTGAATCACCACGAGGCGGCCGGCGAGTTCGTAGACGCCCTCATGGACGACGAGCAGAAGTCCTCGACTGGCGGCGGAGGGAACGGCGGAGCGGCCGATTGTGATCTGTCGGATGCCTAGAACATGTCGGATGGCCTGTCCAAGAGGAAAAATGTGTCAAAAAGAAAAAAATCGAAAAAACCGAAAAAGCTTAAGAAGACCACAAGGGGTTTTCGAAAGGAATTCAAAAAAAATTCAATGTAACCGTAAACAAGACGCTTATGATTTTCTATGGTATAATGTGCGTATATATTTTTATATATTGTAATTTAACGGAATGAATATATATACAAATATATACAGATCTATATATACAATTTGAACAGAGATGCATGTGTTTAGGTACATATATTGTAGTCTTTATAAATAAGGCTATTCATTTTTGCTAAAATGCTTTATAGTGAACACTTGATTTGATCCTGTTGGCAGTTCAATTGTAATCCTAGTTTTAAATCCACCATAAGCAATACAAACACAAACACGCTCACACGTATATACATATGTAGGTACATATACAGGCACACCCACCAACACTCACCAACACATACGACAAGCTGTAGCTTTAAATAACTTACTATACTGTGCTATAAAATGTTTTGGAAACGTGAAAACATCCCATGAAATTCAACTATTTTTGATTAACATTTTGGCGAAGCAAAAAATATGAAAATGCTGCAAGGGAATGTAAAAACAAAATCTAAATAAAGCAAACACACTGGCAAAGCAAAGAAAATACAATACGTTATAATATTAAGCCTTAAGCACGTGAGAGTATGCTTAAAATTATTTACATTAGGTTACGCAGTGGTTATAGCTAAGCAAGTGTAACATTAAATTTCAAGTATCATCAATAGCAAGAATCGATCTTCCCCCATCCCCTCTCCACCTTCTACGAGGTAAGCGGAACTTAAGTTATGTCTGCTATGTTTTTGAAACATTTTAATGGAATAATTTACTCTTTTCTGAGAAAATGAAAATTTATGTAGTCGAAAGAATTAAAAAGATATCTAAATAGAAAATAAACAATATTATATTGAAATTTTGACAAATATGTTTTTTGAATTTGGGGATTTGGGACCAATGGACTGCTTTTAAGATTTTTGAACTCTTATTTCAATTAATCAGCGGTCCTCTTCAAATCGACCATTTTTAAAGTGTTTGAAATTCAGTCTTGAAATTCTTTTTGGCCTCTTTATTTTTAGATTTGTCACTTTTTTTAGTTTTGGAAGAAAAATCGAGTTTTTTACTACTGTGGTTGAGGGGCCTTTTTAAATTTTAACAGCTCCGCGGATTGAAGTATGAGCTTCGTATAACAGTTTGCCAAATCAGCTGCTTGATCGTCCGCGAATTTTCTCTCTGTCTGTCTAACTATCTGCCTCGCTCGGAACGTTAAGCTTTCCAGGCAAAAGCTCACTCTTAAAACGCCAGTCAGCCAAATAAGTCAAGTGGGTTCTGCAGCACATGGAAATCGGCAAGCGGGAAGCACAAACTGAGATAAAGAAAAAACTTCAATTAAATTGCCTATATTTCGGTAATTGTTCATACAAAACAGGGACAGAGCAAATAAACAAAATTAAGGAATTCTTAGTAAATAAACTAGAGCTATGTGTCCGGCTCTCTCACTTTCTCTCTCTCATCGCTTCCAGTGAGAAATCTTTGCTGATCGGTCTCCGTTCCACATTCGTCCGGGTTTTACTCAGTTTCCATTTGGACTTTTGGAGACGCTGGTCGTCGCTCTCTCAACAAACAAAAACAGTCGCTTGTAAAGATTTCAAGTTTGCCAAGAAGGTCTCCTTCAAAATCAATAACCAGAAGTGTGTGTGTGTGCGTTTGAATAAAATCTTAATATTTTTTAATTGAGTTTCTGTGCAACTTAACGTGTTCATGTGGCGCCCCAATTGAGTGGCTCTTATTGCTTTAATTATCGGAGTGTTAAGTCTGACATATAAACCATGTATATATACATATAAGCATATGTATATATAACCCACTGGGAGTGAATGTGTGTGATTCACAGTACAGTTAGGATTCGGAGCTGGAAAACTTGAGCCACAACATTTCACGTCGGATTACGAATTTAAATTGTTTTCATCGCTTGGAGGAAACCGCTGTGTAAGTGCTAATAAATTGATAAGCTGATTTGTATCGTCAAATGTAAGTCAAGATTGTGTAAAATGATTCTAAAGAAATGAAGGAAATCTTCTTGGAGAAAGTGCGTGCAAGTAAACCCCATGTGACATAGATTCGTGTATTCAATAAATCGCGATATCTAAGGTGATAAGAAACCGATAAATACCATATGTAGAGCCAGCTAAGATAGCAATAAATGTCTATGAAATATTCAAACTTTTGCGCAACTCAATACTTCGCAATTTAAGAGAGCTTTGTTGCGCCAAGATGCAATTTCTCAACCAAATTTATTCCAAACTGCCACTTAAATTTACATAAGACTCTGAAACCAAGGCGTGTTCAGCTTTGTTCTACACTATAGATCATCTACAGCATATGTTTCTTAGGCTTAACTGTAGTTAATGACAATAAAACATACCGGAACTATTATTATTAGCAACAGCCATTTAAGTAATTTATTAGTTTATTATTTGCCTCTGTGAGAATACTCGTCCACGTAGTAACGAAGCGCTGTGAAATTGTGCTTCCATTTATACAATTAAAAAGCTTTTAAAATTCAAAATATGTAGTGATAAATTGAAAATGTTTTACTGGAGCTGTGTTCAATGGAAATGAAGCTATTGTGCCACAACTAAGCACCGTTAAGAACAGTGTTAGGGTTTACCAGATACATAGATCATTTTGGTTACTTTTTACCGTATTTCTTTTCGAAAAAACTATAAACACTTCTTTTAACAAGTTGAGAAAGTAGTGAAGATAGTCTTTTACTATCAATAATTTCTGATAACAAAATTTGTGCCTCACAGATAGGATAATATTTTTGTGTTTACAAATAGAAGAACTTGTAATATGTTTCTAATAGTCAAGGGAAAATATTTCTACAAGAATAATATAGAAATAGAGATTTCTCAATGTTTTTATGTTGCTGCCCAGTGTGTTGGGTTTTGACACAGTTTTCATGCTATCCATGACAATGAAATTTTAAAGGTCGTGCCAGCAGTCACCTCAGCCGCAAAATAGGTGATGTTGCCCTAAAGCCAATATGTACTATGAATATTCAGTGCTAGGAGTGCCTTCTTAAGGCACTTATCTTATCTGACCCCAACATTTGCACTTTTGACTTTGCTTTTGATTTTTAACAGAGAACCATTTATTGAATGTACTGTATTCCTAGCAAGTTTCTGTTTTGTTCTCGTCGCAACGATTCTCAAAAGTAAAACGTACATTTTTGTTAATTGCCATTAGGCAGGGGCGGACGCAGAAAAAAATTTTGGGGGGGTCCGGTCGAAAAAATTTTTCGTTTGGGGGGGGTCCGGTCAAATCAAAATTTGTAGTTTATATGGTTGAAAGGCCGTGTGCTGTAAGGGAATTTGAAAAAGTCTGCGATTTTGGGGGGGGTCCGGACCCCCAAACACCCCCCTGCGTCCGCCCCTGCCATTAGGTAAAGATTAATTAAAAAATAAAAACATGTTTTCAACCGTGTAATTTGCCTTACGTTCCAGTTGGCGTTATATCACTGATTATTCCAACAAATCACCCTACTAAAACAGATAGTACACATATATTTTCGATTATGACCCGCAGGAGGTGTCAATCAATTATGTTGTTGACATTTAGTTGCTCCACGTGGGCTAATCTAATCGAAAACATAATTGTAATTCGCTGCATTTAGCCGGGCTTCTCATTGGGGTCGTACAAATAATGGGAACTGATTACAGCGATTGCGCTGATAAGATAGTCGAAAATAGATACAAAGCACAGTTACAAGCTCACTATAAGTGGGGATGTGACTCATTGGAGGTGGCGGTTTTGCGGGTCCTACAATAGAACTCGCACTCGATCAGCGTTTTGGAAAGGTTTGTGAACCCCTAAGAAAGCTTTGCAAAGCTCGCGCAACATTCCGCGCGAGAACTGGTTCTTTTGCTCTCCGGATGACCTTGTGGCCAGAGCCAGAGTTTGGTTTTTGCACAAGATGCCAAGATCGTGGAAAGGTTTTCGGGGTATCGCATTTCCAGTGGCTCGGGGAACAGCGCAAAGCTTTGCCAGCTGTTTTGGAGTTCGCAGCTGTTTAGCCAAAAGTCTGCCTCAGTCTGTCCCGCTCTTTCGCCAAGCTGGCGGCAGCGCGCTCTCGCTCTCTCAGCCGTTAACCGCTTTGAGCGGTAGGAGCTTTGGCCAGCGGCGCGAAGTTTGGTTAATATTGTGGTTAATATTATTAAGCGGAGTGACGGCAACGTTGGCGCAACGTATTTCGCGGATCGCAGATCTCGGACCGCCGATCGTGGGGCGGTAATGAGAGCTTTTTGCCGGGGCTCCGAGTGTGAGTGGTGAGACTTGTTCTGGCTTTCGCGTGGCATTTCTCTCTTTCTTGGCGGTCTTAATGCGACGTCGCGCTAATTTCGGCTCTGCAACTTCCGTTAGTCGGCGGCCCGAAAAGTAAACAAAAATGCTGCCTACCACATGCAAACGTGACAATTCCGCAGTCTCCGCCTGAGATGCATCTGTGCGATACAAAAGAAAGCTTCCGAAATCCCACATGCTGCAGAAAAAACAAGCCGCAATTACGGGCCATTTTACTTTAATGAAGCCAAGTGCCAAAAGTGAAATATGCGAAAGCAGAAAATATCCAATAATTTGTGCGTGTGTTCGTTGGCCATTGTGCAAAACATTTATGAGCTGGAAGCGCCAAAAGCCAAATACGAACGAAATATAAACAACCCACGAAACATTCAGGGCTTGTTGTATTTGCAAAACTCGAGCTTGTGTTTACGCAAAGATAACGAAATGCCATGATAAAAATTTAATTAATTATTTTTCAGAGCAGGGCATTTTTGATGTGGCCGAAAGAGGACATTAATTTATAGAAGTTTCAACTGAAATTATTGCCATTCATAAAACTAGATGATGGTTTACATAAAAATAAAGTAATTGCATTTAAAATTTGTAAGCACATTATTCTAAAATCCATAAATAATGTACAATCAACACAATCCTTTATTAGAGCCGCTCGTTTAATTTTCGGCCCACAAAAATCGCTTTAAGCTTTGCATCCCCCACTCAATCGAGCTTCATGGCAGATCAATCAGTTACTCCCTGCATCAATCGACAAACGTAAATGCGGTAATTATAATTCCTGGTTTAATTAGCCACCGCAGGCCGCCAGAACCGAAACAGTTTACATATGCAGACCGCGGATGCGAATGCAAAAATGAGCTGTAGGCGACATCAACGAGCACCAATAAAACCAAAACCAGTAAAACCAAAAATAAAATAAAGCGAACCTAATTAGCCCATCGAAATTACGCACGCAAACAGTGATGGCCAAGACCGTGGACACCAAAGGCAGCGGCCACAATGGCGACTCGCCGCTGCAACTGCACTTGCCACCGGAGGCGCCCTTGCAGGTGCGACGTCATCGGCGCAGCATTTCGCAGCTGATGGCCAGCATGGGTAATGTCATCTACAGATTGAGATACGTGGGGCATAGATTATCTAACTCTCGGCACGGAGACGAAATTTCGAGGTTCTGCGTCACCGTCACCGTCGTGAGATAAGAGTCAACCAGTTTGTGGAATATCATCAGCCTTAGAACTGGTTTTCCAAAAAGGAAAATTTTCTTGACGCAGAATTTGCATATGCTTTATTGGGGAGTGCTAAAATAAAGGGTGTTGTTGAGGAAAACAAAATTATTGGGACAACAAAGAACTGATAACGGCCAAGTTGCCTAAATAACAAACTAACAAAGCATTTACCATTTCCTTGGCCTTATATAAGCCACCGCCAACTTCTTGCCCCACCAATCGCGTGTCGGACCTCCGCCTAACGGTGCCATTAGTTAATGAATCATAACCGATTTTAAAATGCATGACACGCCAAAAGCAACCAACCCATAATGCTATAAATGTATTGTGCCTTATTTACATTTGCACTCACTCGAGTTTACAGCAGGAAGTTTCGATTTCTTTGGCATTGTGTGTAGGTCAGATATAATATTCGTTCGCGGGGTTTAAAGACCTTTTCAGGGGGGACTGTTTTGTGTCTACACCCCAATTGCAAAACCCTGTAAATAAACCAGATTCCTGATTGCAGGCCTCGGCTTTTCAACTTACTGTTAAAGTGCATGTGAGGTTATTATCTGACAACGTTTCTGAGAAGGCAAACCTTTTTTATACTAAGAAAATGATATCTGTTAAATACTTGCTACTTAGACTGATAAGGCGTAATTTTTCCTAATCGATTTGAAGTACTTTGAACCCTGTTTTTCCCCTTTCTATAAATTCTTTTATTTATTTCTTTAAAAACTATTTTAAGTAAAGTACTTTTCATTCTGAACCATTATCAACAGGAAGTAAAACTTAAATACATATACTGGAGTTTTATATTTGCATATGTTTTACAATAAACACTCATTAAATCATCATCGGCAACCTTTTGCCCGATGGATTGATTTTGTTTTTATGATAACAATTTATATATTTTTCACAATATTGTTTCATTACTCTTTAAACTTATCTAAATGGCAAATAAGTGTTTATTAAAGTATTTCAAGATATTTAAAGTTTATATACACAACTGAGCGAATGTGCTAATGAATTCCGCAAAGAACGAGCTACGAAAGTGAAAAGGTGTCAAGAACTCGGAATTTTATTGAATAGGCTGTTAACTTTTATTAGAGCCTCTTTAATTTCACTTAACCGAGGTCGATGACATAAGAAATGCTCTAGTATTTAACGTTTATATCCACAATTTACATTATCGAACTGGCTACTAATTAAGGAAACCTTTCATCATTTCAAAGTTATTTTATATTCCGCGATTTATCGCACATCTAAGAATGTCAAGGCATACAAAGGAGCTCCTATTTCTGGCACTCGGTTCAAGTATATTTTGTTTGGTAACTTCGTGCTGATAACGAAAAAAAAGCTCGGCGATAAGGTAAATGGCACACTCTTTGTTTTTGCCTCTTCTGGAGAAACAAATTTAGGTCTACTCCCGAGAATGCCTGCCAAACTAACTTGTCCATTAAAAAGTCTACGACTGTGGCAGTTTCTCGGTAAGACTTTAATGGCACCCCTGAAGATAGGGTCGATGAGTAATCCCCCAATGCCATAGGTTATTGACGCTCATAGGCAAAACCTTTGCACTTGCTCGAGTTTGTTCTTATAATTAGATGTTAGATTAGAAAGGGGAATATCGAACTTGAAGTTAATGTCCATCAAACCTATACCAGCATGGGGGCTTTATGAATTTAAAGAGCGTTGTACTTTTTCGAATTGTATACATTTACGAATATAAGGGGAAATGTTAATACACTGCGTCCGGGTTGAGGACACCTGTTATCGAGTGCTAATCAAAGTACCTGACTAAAATCTGATTTATGTAATTTATTACTGTCAGCGATAACGACAGCTTTCCCTGTGCTCTTTTGTGAAGCAATGCCACATCCATAAACCCATTTAACCATCATTGTGCGGCTCTACCTACTGTGCAGTATCTCGTAATCTATCAGTTGCGCAGTTTTATTTGGGCTCTCTATCTAAATGTCATTCGGCCAAAAGAGTTCTGAACGAAACAATATTGTTGGGATATGCATAGGGTTTTCCAGATCCGCATGTCATGTGCCTTTGGGAGAAGTGAAAACATAAATTCTCTTATCAGCAGACGACTCACGTGCACTTAAATAGAAGATTTGCTGAGAGAGATGGCATCTTGTGTACTCAGCTCGAATTAGCCCCAAGGTTCGAGCGAGTTCCTATGTCAAGTTCGCCCGAAATTAACTGAGCTCAACTACAACACATGTCGTGAGCTGTGACCTTGGGCGAGCTTCTGTTTCGAGTGGAGATAACATGCGCCAGTTGTTACGATTTAATGGTTACAACTTACAGCGGTTAAGGAAGGCCAGAAAAGCTCCGACTTTAACTATGCACTCGATGGAGTTATCAGTGTTCTGTGCTCGACTCACAGAACGAAAGGTGCACAGCTGTAAGTGTAGAATTAGTGAGCATAGGTTCCCTTTGGTTGGAACCGCAAAAGTTAATTTGGGTAATTGAGAGCCGGAGCCTAGAACTGGTCGAAGTACTTTCGTATGTCGTGCGAGTACTGATAAGGCCTTAAAAGAAACACAATATACACTGCTGGTATATATAACAAATAGTTGTTTGAAGTTTATTTTGGCGTATGATAATTTCCATATTTTCACTAAATAGTATGTAGATAAGCATTTCCCGACTTTTCCACATCATAATTTTTGCCACCGATACCCAGTTAGAACTTAAATGTAGAAATCTATAAAAACAAGATTGTTTTCGTTCGTTAGTTCGATCCTTACAACGTTAGCGATTATGTGTAGGGGAGATGTGGGGGTTGTGGGCATAGTTTTGTTTTTGGCTTATAATTACCGAACTAGTGCATATTATTTGGACATATGGGTATCTGTGTAAAGCTAGAGACCTAAGCTAACTAATTATGAAGAAACATACTTGATTTTGTCATGCGAAAAAATTTCATATGGACTTTTGTAAAATCGTAATTTTCAGCTAAAATTTTTTTTGGGGGGTTGTGGGCACCCTGGGAAAAAAAGCTGCAAATGGAATAATATGGAAAAAAAAACCACAACCAATATCAACAAAATGACAATTTATTTATTTCAAAGACGACATAGGCGTTATTCATCGTCGGAAACACAATTTTGACATGTATAATGACTGCCCCGCATGTCCACACATTTCGGAAGAAAAGCTCGATCGCAGATGTCACAATTGAGTGATAATCCCTCTCAGCGGGAGAGGATCCTTTTCCAAGAGCCTAAGATTTCTACAAGAATGTTCTAGAGGGTTCCAAACAAATTTTGAAAACAATTTTACAAGAAATTGTAGGTAATAAAAAAATTTGCCAAAAAAAAAAAACGGGTGCCCACAACTCACCCAATTTTGGTGCCCACAACCAACTTTCGCAGACATTAAGAAGTAATTAAAAAATGTGTTTGCATAAATTTTTTTGGTTCAAATCGATATTGTTCCATTTAGTATAATGCTTTGACTAAATAAAAATGCATTACACATACCTTTTTAATCGATTCACTTTAATTGATACACTATTGAAAATCTTTGAATAAAGTTTCACCACCTTTTCCAAGCACAAAAAAAACCAATTCGTTCATTTCAAAAAGCAAACGCGTTCGTTTACTTTGATATTTGGCATAAATCATACATAGGGTAATTGCTTGCGAATGACATTACCAACAAAAGTCAATCTTCATTTTGTGAAAATATACCTACGTAGGGGTGCCCACAACCGACCCATGCCCACAACCCCCACTTCTCCCCTACTATATGTATGTATGTATATGTACGAGAAATAACAACGATCTTATAATTTTGACCCATTCATTTTGTAGAGATTTTTCAATATTTCCTATCTCAGCTACATGATAAAGTATTCCGATTTTAATGAAATTGGTTTCCTTAATTTAATCGTCTTAAAAACTGGATATTCCAGTTTGTATGATAAAAAACATAATAAAACATAATTTCTGTTGAAAAAATCCCACCTGCCAAAAATCATGTTAGATGATAAAAACAACGGGACATTTTTTCCCCGTTTTTTTCCCAAAGGGAAGGGAGCTATTCGATATTATATTATATTATATATTAAAAGCTAAGTAATTTCAAAAGTCGCTTACCAAGAGTGCTGCTAAGCTCAGGGCCGGCGAAACGTTTTGATTCCAGGTGGGTTATTCTCCGGACAAACGATAGGCGGGGGTCGTCTCATGAATTTTTAATAAAATTTAACATATTGTTCTGAACTGATTTTATGTTTCTTTATTTGCTAAGTCAATTTTTAAGATCACTTTAAGGTTTTCATCTCTGTTTTTCAAGTGGGTAATTACCCACCTTCAGAAGTTTCAGGCGGGTAGTACTACCCATAATACCCAAGCCTTCCGCCGGCCCTGGCTAAGCTTGTCAAAATCCGATGAATTTGTTGTACAGCAGTTAATAAAACGATAATCTTCCTGTGAGATTACCTATCCAGCAATTGAATATAAAGTTTAGCTTAAAGAAAAATGATCTTTTTTCCGAACAAAGCAATTGAGATAAATGCAAGTTCGCGTCACCTGCACAATGTAAAATATTCAGTACATATGTTTATAATTCGGACACTTATTCGTTTTTCTGTTGGTTCTTACTATCTTCTAAAACGTACATTGATTGTTTGTGTGCCTTTCATTAATCACAGCTCCCGTCCCGTTTCAGTTGAATATCCCACGGACGATGTGTACCGGCCCACGCACTTCGCAGGCTATGTGAACAGAGGCTACGATGATATAGACAGTTCCTACTACTTTGCCCAGTTCGAGGCGATGGCAGAGGCTCGCGGCGGGGGGCGGTCCTTCCGCCCTACGCAACCACCGACTCGGACGTCGAGCGCGGGAGCGGGGAGGCGGATGGCTCGGCGGAGGACTCCAACGTCGAGGAGGAGGAGGTGTTCCGGGACTGCACGGACGACACGGCGGCCGAGCAGCAGAACCGCTGCCTGCCCGAGTTCCAGTTCTCCCTGGTCGAGTCCGAGTACGACGAGACCCTGGCCTTCCCGGACTCGGTCACCATCCTGTCCAACGTGGGCGACAAGCCGGTGCTGGTGGAGCGCAAGGAGACCGACGACGACGATGAGGAGTTCGACGACGAGGAGAACAACAGTGTGGTGCTGCGCCACGAAATTCCCTTCACCAGCATCTACGGGCCCAGTGTCAAGTTCAACTCGTTCCAGCGCAAGGTCTTCATCCCGGGACGCGAGATCCACGTCCGGATCGTCGACACGGAGCGCAGCGTCACAACACATCTGCTCAATCCCAATCTGTAAGTGGCTTTTACTGGTGTGTGTGTGCTCATAGCAAAACATATTTTAAGGTTTAAACTTTAAACTTATATTGAGCTGGGTTCCCAAATAATCCAGGAACACAGATCACAAACTTTCGGTTATTAATCTAAAATAATAATACCCTCAGCAAGGGATTTTATAATGAACTTTTCTAGATAGCAAAGAAAATATATTAAACAAAATGACAAAATCCCACCGGACTGTATTTAAATTTTAAAATACAAAATAAACATACTGTCGGTCTAGCAATTATAAATGTAATTTGTGTTCAAAAACATAATGTGAACAGATCGTAGAAGTTCTTTGCAAAAAAAACCATTGTTAAACATACCGCAACCTAGGTTGTGTTTATGTGCTGATACTGTTCTCACACGCCTTTTTATCCTTTGGTCAGGTACACCATCGAGCTGACCCACGGCCCCTTCAAGTGGACGATCAAGCGGCGCTACAAGCACTTCAACTCGCTGCACCAGCAACTGAGCTTCTTCCGCACCTCGCTGAACATTCCCTTCCCCAGCCGCAGTCACAAGGAGAAGCGCACCACGCTGAAGGCCACCGCCAGCCAGATGGCCGATGAGTCCACGCTGAAGGACCTGCCCGCCCACACGAAGGTGAAGCAGACCAGCACTCCCTCGGGAGGGGAGGGCCACAGCAGCAAAACCGCCAACAGTAACGGCCACAATGCGATGGCCATAGTCACTCCCAGTCACAGTTCGATCCTGGCGGGGTTCACGCCCCGTCGCATTCAGAAGAAGCGCAAGAAAAAGAAGAAGCGCAAGCTGCCGCGATTCCCCAACCGCCCGGAGAGTCTGGTCACCGTGGAGAACCTGGGTGTCAGGATCAAGCAGCTGGAGGACTACCTGTACAACCTGCTGAACATCAGTCTGTACCGATCTCACCACGAAACGGTAAGTGTTCAGTGATAAACACTTTCTGATAAAGTTGGCCTAAATTGGACTGTAGAATTAGTAATGAAACCCGGGAGGTTTTCGATAATGACTGGGCAAACATTTTAGATAGTTAATAGTGATTAAGGAAACCAATAAGTTTAAAACCAAGAATTTAACTAATCATCCAAATATTGCCTTGAACTCACAGCTGAACTTCGTTGAGGCGTCGAACGTGTCGTTCGTGCCGGGCATGGGCATCAAGGGCAAGGAGGGCGTGATCCTGAAGCGGACGGGCTCCACGAGACCGGGACAGGCGGGCTGCAACTTCTTCGGCTGCTTCCAGAAGAACTGCTGCGTGCGCTGCAACTACTTCTGCTCCGACGTGGTCTGCGGCACGTGGCGCAGCCGCTGGTTCTTCGTGAAGGAGACCTGCTTCGGCTACATCCGGCCGACGGACGGCAGCATCCGGGCGGTGATCCTCTTCGACCAGGGCTTCGACGTGTCCACCGGCATCTACCAGACGGGCATGCGCAAGGGCCTGCAGATCCTGACCAACAACCGGCACATCGTGCTCAAGTGCTGGACGCGGCGCAAGTGCAAGGAGTGGATGCAGTACCTCAAGAACACCGCCAACTCGTACGCGCGCGACTTCACGCTCCCCAATCCGCACATGTCCTTCGCGCCGATGCGCGCCAACACCCATGCCACGTGGTACGTGGACGGCGCCCAGTACATGTCCGCCGTGGCCGACGGCCTGGAGGCCGCCCTCGAGGAGATCTACATCGCCGACTGGTGGCTCAGCCCCGAGATCTACATGAAGCGCCCCGCCCTCGACGGCGACTACTGGCGGCTGGACAAGATCCTGCTGCGCAAGGCCGAGCAGGGAGTGCGCGTCTTCGTGCTGCTCTACAAGGAGGTCGAAATGGCCCTCGGCATCAACAGCTACTACAGCAAGTCCACGCTGGCCAAGCACGAGAACATCAAGGTGGGTTCAATAAGTTTGGTTATCGATTGTGGAAAGCCATTCAGATTGGTTCTTACTATATCCTGCCAACTTAAACATCCAATCCGTTCAAAGAGCCGTACTTAAGATAAATTTTTTTGTACCAAACTTACCGTACCGAACTTTTCCTGCAGGTCATGCGACACCCGGACCACGCAAGAGGCGGGATTTTGCTGTGGGCGCATCATGAGAAGATAGTGGTGATCGACCAGACCTATGCGTTCATGGGGGGCATTGACCTGTGCTACGGTCGCTGGGACGACCACCACCACCGCCTCACGGACCTGGGCAGCATATCAACGGCCTCCTTTTCTGGCAGCACGCGCCGCACGCCCAGCCTGTACTTCAGCAAGGACGACACGGACTCGGCGTTCGGGTCGCGAAAGTCCTCGCGGAACGCCCACTACGAGACGTCGGCCAAGGAGCGGTCTCCGTCTCCTGCGGCGGATGTGCCCAGTACCAGCATAGAGCTGAGGACCCTGAAGCCCGGCGACCGCCTGCTGATACCGACGACGCTGGTTTCGAGTCCCGGGGAGACGCCCGGAGGGGAGTCGAGTGTGGCGCTGGAGGGGATGAAGCTGAACACGCCCGAAATGGAGCGGAAGAACATGCTCGATCGGCTGAAGAACAACGCGATGAAAGGCGCCCGCATGGGCAAGGACTTCATGCAGCGGCTCACAGCCACGGAGGCGGCGGAAGAGAAGCCCGGCGAGGTGTTCACCATCGAGTCGGAGGACGTGACGGACCACGCGGACCGGCTCACCCTGAACGCCGCCTGTGGCGGACAGGAGGCGGCGGTGACCGCCAGCAGCACGCAAATACTCAGCGAGTTCTACGGCCAGGCGAAGTACTGGTTCGGCAAGGACTACTCCAACTTCATACTCAAGGACTGGATGAACCTCAACTCGCCGTTCGTGGACATCATCGACCGGACGACCACGCCCCGGATGCCCTGGCACGACGTGGGCCTCTGTGTGGTGGGGGCCTCCGCCCGGGACGTGGCGCGCCACTTCATCCAGCGCTGGAACGCCATGAAGTTGGAGAAGCTGCGCGACAACACGCGCTTCCCCTACCTGATGCCCAAGAGCTACCACCAGATGCGCCTCAATCCGCACCTGCAGCAGGGCCGCCAGAAGCGGGTCACGTGCCAGCTGCTGCGCAGCGTCTCCGCCTGGAGCTGCGGCTTCATCGAGGCGGACCTGGTGGAGCAGAGCATCCACGACGCCTACATCCAGACGATCACCAAGGCGCAGCACTACGTGTACATCGAGAACCAATTCTTCATCACCATGCAGCAGGGCATGGGCGTGCCGGGGCCGCACAACAACGTGCGCAACCAGATCGGGGAGACCCTCTTCAAGCGGATCGTGCGCGCGCACAAGTGGGTTAACCTCGTTCCTATCCAGTGACTAGCCGCTCTAACTCGTGATTCTTTCAGGGAACGAAAGACCTTCCGCGTTTATGTGATAATGCCGCTCCTGCCAGGGTTCGAGGGCGACGTGGGTGGCAGCACGGGCATTGCAGTCAGGGCCATCACGCACTGGAACTACGCTTCAATTTCTAGGTGAGCTTCCAGCAGAGTGTCTCTTTGCTGATTGCGTATTCAAATGCAATGTATCCCTTCCCCCTTTTGTCCAGGGGACGCACCGCGATTCTGACCCGCCTGCAGGAGGCGGGCGTTGCTGAGCCGCAGAACTACATCTCGTTCCACAGCCTGCGCAACCACTCCTTCCTGAACAACACGCCCATCACGGAGCTGATTTACGTGCACTCAAAGCTTCTGATCGCCGACGATCGCGTGGTGATATGCGGCTCGGCGAACATCAACGACCGCTCGATGATCGGGAAGCGGGACTCCGAGATAGCGGCCCTCATGATGGACGAGGAGTTCGAGGATGGCCGCATGAACGGCAAAAAGTACCCGAGCGGAGTGTTCGCCGGACGCCTGCGCAAGTACCTGTTTAAGGAGCACTTGGGTAGGCTATTTGCTTTTAAGTATCCTTGACGGTCTTACTCATCCTCTCATACCGTCATGCAGGCCTCCTGGAGGGAGATAGTCGCTCCGATCTGGACATCAGCGATCCCATCTGCGACAAGTTCTGGCACGGCACCTGGCGCAGGACCTCGACACGGAACACGGAGATCTACGACGAGGTGTTCAAATGCATTCCCACGGACTTTGTGAAGACCTTTGCCAGTCTCCGCAAGTACCAGGAAGAGCCGCCGCTCTCAAAAACGGAGCCCGAGCTGGCCGCCAACCGAGCCAACGAAATTCAGGTAGGTAGGCTTCCTGGTGGTAAATGTATTCTGATAATTCTAGCGGTGAAAAAAAGATGTTCTATGATTTTTGTTAAAGATAAACTTGATGCTTTTTTTATTCTAATTCGTTATAAACTTTAAAACTTTGTTGCATTCATGGAGAGATTCCTTTTTTTTATTTGTTTGAGGTACTAACCATAATTGCGCGTCATATTTCGAAAAGCTTTATTAAGCGCTAAATTTAAGGAGCCCCTAAATCATTTCCTAATATCATAGCAAAACTAAAAACATAGTTCTGACATTTAATATAAAATGTTAACGAAATTTGAGAGACATTTTTGTTATGGGGGTAGCCACTTTTAATAAAGAACAAACCCAAAACTGTTTATTGATATCCAAATCTCACTGCTTGTTTTAGGGTTATCTGGTCAACCTGCCATTGGAGTTTCTCAACAAAGAGGTGCTCACGCCGCCCGGAACCAGCAAGGAGGGCCTCATTCCTACCTCTGTATGGACATAGTCTGCCAAATGTCTCCAAGAGGCAACTAGCTATAAGAATTCCTTGAAACACCTATAATCAATTACAGCCCCACCCAACCAACGCGCTTAAATTGAACGCTTGTCATTGCCAGGACATACACTTTATATATTGTATGTTGAACAGTACCCGTAGGTTACTCTAGATCTTACCAAGTACGCAGTTATGCCCTAACAATAGTTTATTTATTTTACTCTGTTTGTCTATGTCCTCAAGTAGTCTTAGATCCTTGTTGTTATTCTTTTTTATAATGTTTAAACAGTATTTTAGACCGATTTACAGATGTTTATTAAAGTGATATGAAGTGCAAATGAATAAATACAGGTCTGAATTGTTATATCATGCCGTTGTTAATTCTTTCTTAAGGTCTTATCTACATATTCTGTTTCCTTGGTTAAGGGATTTTTACATAGATTTAATGTGAGTAATTATAATTTAGCTCTCGTTTAACATTGAATGCTTGCGTACAATTTTGAGCACGACCAATTTGTTTTTATTCGCTTATATTTGGTTTAACCTTAGATTTTTACCAAAGATTATTACACAAAATCGACGCTCTCCGAATGTGTTTACACTTGCAGGGAGAGGGTCTAGACCCTAGAGTTTTTAAAGGAGCAAAAGTGGTATTCCCGACAAAAAAATTTAGTATACAATGTAGTGTATTTTTAATCAGAATAACACGGCATGTCCATACCGTGCCTAGCTATCAGTCTATTTTAAAATCCTTGCATTCCGGATCGGCAACTATATGCGAGTCGAGTCGATTTTCGTTATTGTAATGCTATACAGTAGAATCCTGTTATAACGACTCCGGTTATAGTGTCCGTCTGGGTATTGCGACGAAAATTCGATGGCTTAATTGGTCCCCAGACAGACTTATACACTTAAATCCTTCTGCTTAGTGCGTCTTCCGGGTATAACGACGAAAAATCGTCGGTCCCTTGAAAGTCGCTATAAGCGGATTCTTCTGTAATTACAATAAAAACTAAAGTTGTTAAAATTCTATCGACTACCGAAGTTGAAGTTTACACTTTTTTCTATTACTAACTTGCATCTAAATTTTTTTAGACAAATAGATGATCTGCTAACTTGATATAAACTTGATATTAAAGACATATCTGTCACTTCAGGAAATGTGGCGGCAGTTACTTCTCTAGGACACTTCTTCATAACTTCTGGCAGAAAATTCTTTGTACCTTCTGAAAGGATACATCTTCGTTACTTCTAAATTATTTTCGGAACTTAAATTTGGAAGACACTCCTCGTATCTTCTTGAAGTCACTTATTTAATTCTGCGACTATAAAGTATCTATAGTCAGCAGTGACAAATATTGTCACTGTCCGACAAAAAATTAGTTGTAATTAGTCAACTATAAATAAGGCAAAACGGCAGCACTGTTTGATTTAAATTGCTAGCTGACTAAAGCTGATTGCTGTGACTGCAGAGATGACTTCAATACCGGACGATCGTCGTTTGGAACATGAGTCTGGGAAAATGTTGCCGCAACAACTGTTGCTAGGAAACATGTTGAAAAAGTATCTTTTTGTAATGTTTTTAAAAGTGTGAGCAAACTTAATGTTAAAATGTAGTATTTAAAGGATGCATAATTTTGAATAATTCGTTCCCAGTAAAACAAAAAATGCAATGAAATTTTGAACGACTTCTTCTAATGCCCTGAAATTTGTTCCCTTTCTTATTATTATCTCTGCTTCTCTCTCTGTTGCAATGCTTTGCGGAAAATGCACTTGTAAATGAATAACGCAAACTTAGTTTGTTTCTTGCTCTCACGCAGTGCATTCGCGTATCGTGCATTTTTTTGCTAACTTGTATAGTTTTTTTGATTGTTTGTTGTTTGGATAGAAACCGATCTACCTATGTACATATGTAGTGACTAACTTGTGTTTAATGAAGAGTTTGGTTGGTTTAAGAATTCTATGTGTTGAGTTTATGGTTTGTTGTGTTGTATTCCTCGAAAATCCTTTATCTTTAATTCAATGATTAGCTTCACAAGTTTAGAGCAGTGAAGAGTCAAAAAAGTACCAAAATATTCTTAGCAGAATTAGAACAAAAACGCTGGCCAAACGAGTTATGTCGCACTCGCACACACCCGCAAAAAGCTCTCGTAAGCATGCGTCGTCTTTGTCCCACCCGTTTTTGCATTCTCTCGCAGTTGCATCACACACACGTACGCACACTTGCCCGTATCGTAATAAAAGCACGTGTTGTGTTTGATTTTTCGCCCCCCTACCCATTCCCCTTTGCTCCATGTTTTCCTCCAGCAGGCCAAGTTTCTGGAGGTTTGTTTTTGCTTTCTTGACGTGACTTTGGTTTCTGTGTGAGTGAGCTGATCGCTCTCTTTCTCTCTCCCTCTCTTTGGTCACTGATAACCGTTGCGATTTGGGATTGTATTAGTGAGCTCTCTTGCTATTGTTTTGTTATTGTTTGGTTTTTGCCTTTGCTTGTTTACTTTTAAATTTTTTCCATGCCAACCTCGTGCTTTTGTCTTTATTCTTGACTCTTTTAGCTCTATGAAATGAATGGGCTATAACGAAATTAACGAAAGCATTAAATATGGCTGCATATTGTCCATACGTTTGTGTTTAGCTTCAAACTCGAGCCAATGTTTTCAAAAATAATCATTATGCTCGGTTGGGTGAACCGGTTTCGAGCTGGAACCTTTCGTATTCTGATTAGTTCCCACACATATCAACAGGTAGCTGCAGCTCGGCATGCGTGTATGTGTGAGTGAACTTGCCACCTACTCAAACACCCGCGGAAACATCGGAAGTTGCTACCCAACTATCAAGCCCCCAAATGCTGAGTAACCGAAAAACCGATTTGCTGAACTTCCCCAGAAGTTCAAGCACGCACACATTCACACATTGCGGCGCAACAAGCTCTCCCGGTTTCCCCTAGCGCCTCCTCTCTCTTAACCACTCTCTCGAAAACCTGCTGCCGCTGCACAGAAATCAAAAGTGAACACACTGCACGCTAAACCTCCCCCTCCCTCCCCTCTTTCGAGAAAGCCCCTCGTGGGGCGCCAAAAAACGAACGGCAGTTCGTTGCCTTCGTTCTTGCCTCGCGAGCTTCGTATCTTGATTTGTGCCCGGTTCTAGTTGGTTGAGCCACTCGGGCGGGACTCGGCCGCCGCTTCGGCAGCCGTCGGACCCACTTCGGGTGGGGCTATGGCGCTCGGCCCACTCCCACTCCACTCGGCCCCACTCGCCAGTCAGTCGGCAGGCAGAGTGAGAGCAACCCGCAGCTTTTCTCGTGTGAGATCGCAGTTTTTCGCTTGCCAATCGATGGGGCTCCGGAGTTCGCAGTTTGCAGTGCAGCGTTTCTTTGACTTTGTACAATTTGCTTACACGGCAATTGGTGGCTTTAATTATAAGTAGCGCACTCGCTCGCCAGACAAGTTGGCCCCGTGATAAGCAAAACACAAGTTTGCCTAGTGAGTGAGTGGACCATCGGAATGCATTTGATTAGATTGTGATTTGTTTGCTGGCCTCTCGTTGTTGTCGCAAAACAAAAGCTGAGCCGCAAACAAAACAGCTAGGACCGGTTAGCCGGACTTGCCCATTCGGCGTCAGTTTCACGTTCGGTATCACTGCCGCGATTTTGCCAATCTTGCAGAAAGATTTTCGGGTGTGCACCGGAAACAAACGAGAACGAAACAACAATCAGCCATTCACAAAGCCATCAAGCACAGTGAAACACTTGATAACGGAGCTAAAAACCCAATAACCATACCAAAAGCCAACATAAATCCCGCAACGTTTATTAATTATATGCTGATCAAGTGTTTTCTCGTATGAAATATCAATCGAATCGAAAAATGTGTGTCATAAGTGCAGAAGTGAAGTGCAGCTTAATGCTTAATGCGAAAAGCTCAAAAATGCGATTGATTTAAATGAATTTCTGTTTAATTTGTATAAATATTTTCACCACTCGTAACTCGAGAGGTCGACCCACAAAAGCCGGAAAAGTGCAAATTCATGGCAAAATTTAAATACCAATTTGCGCAAACTGAGGGGGGAAATCGAAATGCTAATACGATTTAAAGGCAGCTTTGAATTGCTGACGAATAACTTTCTGATTAAAGCAATTAAAATTGCCTTCTCCATCGACTAACAATAAAATAGCAAAGACTAGGAATGTGTGGCCGAGGGGCTCAGGAGTAATGGCAGCAGTTGGGAGCAATTAAGCACATCGTTACAATTGTAAAACAAAAGAAATAGTTCCAAGGCACGCGGCAAACGAAGCAAGGGGAAAATGTCATCCACTGAGCCGAAGGATATGGCGCTGAAGACCAAGACACCGGCAGTCGAAGCAGTTGCCTGCCTGCTCCCACCCTCCGCCAAACCTTTAGTCGCAACGGGAAAGAAAACTTTAACTTCCAGTGCGGCTTTGTCATTGTTTGATCAGCTGAAAAACGGCGTCAACCTAAACAGTTTGACAATTGGCGCCAACAGCAACGGCAACCCAGAAGCGGCTCCAGCAGCAGCACCACCACCACCCGAAACACCAGCGACAGCAGTTGCCACACCCACCGCCCCAGTGCTGCCGGCCCCCGCACCGCCCACCGCCGTAGCTCCGCCCTTGGATATCGAACTAAAGCCCCCGGCAAAACCCGCGCGCCCCTTCAGCACGCCCAGCAGCATTGGCGTCGTGCAGGGCACCAAGCGGGGGGCGGGGGGAGTGGCCGGGGGGACTGGCGGCCAGGCAGCCAAATTGGATATAAACGCTCTGCGATCTCAGCTCTATCAGGGCGCCAGGAAGACTGCAACAACAACTCGCGTAGGGGCCGGAAAAACAGCAGTCGCCACAACAGCTCCACGAGCAACTGGCAGCGCAGAACGCGGCACGAGGGGAGCCAAAAAGCGGTGTCTGGATCGATACGACTCATCGGAGTCATCAGACAGGTGAGTGCATGCTATAGCCCCATAGCCATATAACGTGCAAAAGGTGTACGACTAAGCAGCGCCAGACAGAGTTCTCTGAGTAAGACAGATTTTGGTGTGAGAAGTCTGTTCAGATATTTCAAAGCTCGAACTTGATGTGTGTTTTAAGACCTCTTGAATAGAAAACAGCTAAGGAAAGGCTAAACTTAAAGCAACTTAACCAAGAATAAAAGAAATTTCAGACTCTACAGTGCTAATGTGTGTGTTAACTATAAACTATAAAAATATATGTGCATACCAGACATTTTAATAGGGCGTTGCGTGGTTTTTTAAGGGAGATATCAAAACTTGAAAAATTCCGTATATGTATATATGGCCTTTCGATTTTATGTAGCGGATTTGTATTAAAAAGTGAGGAAACAAGGTATATACTGAGCTAATGTCAAACTTTTCATTAGAGTGTGGGTTTAGTTGGGACAACACACAAATTTCGGTTCCCTTCGTGAACGCCTGAAATGCACAGTCATTAAATGATTTAACAAGCAGACTGCCAAATGTATCTCTAAGATGCGCTGGCCGGCTATAAACGGAAATGCAAGAGTGTATCTGTGAACTCTCGGGCTGTGAAAGATTGAGCTAAATGCGGATACTCTAAATATATATACGCGATGCACTGCCAAAAAGTGAGCCAAAGTGTGCTCGCCAAGACACTCAGCCGAAAAAGATTGCAGCCCGTGCAAGCCATAGTCACGCATTAATCAAATCTACAATGGGCAGCCAGACTGGAGGAGGCAAATAAGCGAATTGCGCTAGATTTATCTGACAAGTAATCGCCTCAATTATTGTACCTGCGAAAAGCCAGTGCGGTGAAGAGGCCGCGAGGCACGCGCCCCATAGATTGCGAGTTTATGACTTACAGATACATTTGTATCTACTTAAATGGGCGGCCACAAAAACATCTTGCCGCAATGCCAACTAATTTCCGCTCATTAAAAATGCGCAGTGCAGTGAGGCAGCAGCGGAATGGAAATGGAAACAAAGAAAAGCAAAGGCCGCAACGACTGCAGGCATTTGTATCTGGCAGATACGCACAACATGCGTTCATTTATCAGCCACAAATGGACGCTGATGAGCCGCAGTAGCTGCTGATTTTCAATGTGCGGCGCGTGGGCGGTTGAGCAAACGTCGGCGGCTTCCTGGCTGCACTGAGATATAGGTATAGATATAGATGCAGATCCATGTTCTGCCAGACCAAAGAAACTCCAAACTGGCTACATGAGTATTCTACTCGCCGCTTGTCTGACTTTTGTTTGCCCAGTTGGCTCGCAGCATAAGCAAACTTTTGGCTCTTTGCATTTCAATTAAACCGAAGCTCCTACTGTTCGCTTCTGCCTCAGGTTGCTCTTCTGATGCGGTTCTGCCTCCATCCGTATCAAATACTATCTGAGGGCTATCGCGGCTATTGTATCTCGGTACGCTCAACGTGTCGCGATGTTTTGTCAATTGGCCCCATCACCGACCCCCCATCTCCATCCACTTCCCCCAAGTTCGCGTTTTCTCGTCGGCTGGTGAGTGATGTCGTCGGTGCTCCTCTTCGTTGGCAGTCGGAAAGCATTTCAGCTTTTGGTCGTTGAACTCTTTTTGATTTATTTATTTTGTTTGTTTTTGTTTTTGTGTGTGTTTTTTGTCGTCACAAAACATGAAATTTTGTTGTTGCTTTTGGTTTTCCACGTTTTTGTTTATTTTCGGTTGGGCTTGTTTTTATTTTGATTGCACGCTTTTTTTTCGACTGAATCTTTGAAGAACTGCGAAGTTGTCATCTGCATCTTGGCAACAGTTTTGGAAGGAATTCATGTATTTCTGTAGCATTTCGGCGTGTTTAGCTCAGGATGATTGCAGCATGATCCACCAAATGATGCGAACTCAATTCTTTTCAGTGACCTCGATTCCCTGCCTCGCTTAGACTTCTTCAAGATAACGCGAACCGCAACAGAAAACAAATCACTAAGAGTAGTCATTAAAGTTTTATTTTTCAGAAGGCAAAGACTTCGTCAGCCAGTTTGGGTAAAATAAAAAATATATGCATGTGTAAAGCTGGCAAGAAACATCCGCAGCTTCGCAGCAAAGGCATTTAACTTTAATTATCGCTCATAAAGCTGAAAATACAACCACTGCAAGAGTGCAACAACAACTGCCTGTTGTTGCTGCACGTACACACATACTCTATGTGTTGCTGCTGCAACGGCTGTCATCATTTTCGTTTACTCGCAGTGTCGCCCGCATGAGCGAGTGTGTGTGCTATTGATTTTGTCGACTTTTGTCTTACAGGTTTTCCACGTTTTTCCACATATTTCCACAAGAGCCCAAGAGCGACCCACTGCTCCAATGGCGCGGTCTTTCGCTGATTGTGGGCTGTTGATGTTGCTGTTGCTGTTGCACTTTTCGCCGAGTCATGCACAGAGCGAGAGGGAGGGAGACAATCACCCTGAGATATTGTGTAATCGCCCACGTTGATTTATCTCGTTTAAGTGACTCCGAAACGGCAGCAACTGCAGCAGCAACAGCAACAGCAACAACAACACCAACAAAAACAACAGAAATTGCAATTGCAATGACAGCGGCAACATCGCGCGATGACGTTGAAAGTGTAATATAATAAGTTGCAATTGCTAGTGGTTGTTTTTGCCGTGGGTCGTGTGTCTTTAGTGGTCGTGCTTGCTGATGCTATTTGCCATTTCTTGGCATTGCCATTTGGCTTCTCCTTCTGGTGTTTAGGCATTGCAGCTAGCCAAGTTTTTTGGGCCAGAGATGCACTCTCGTTTTTTTTGGCCAACTTTATGGTGTATAGAGGATGCATTTACGCCCACCGTGCCATCGATTATCGAAATAAACATTTGAAGGGCAGCTAAAACAGGTTTTTATTCACTTCCGTTTTCACCAGAAATGGTCTTTTTAAGAGCTGTGCTTTTTTAATCGAATTTTGTTTTGTCGTTCTATGTTGAAATGAAAAATCAATAAAGGCAATAAAAACATATTATTAAATATGTATATATGGGATTGTAAACTTTAAAAACGATCTTAAGATCTATTTAATGGAGACGTGGTATCCGCGTGCACAATTTAATTTGTTTTTATTTTGGTAACCAAAATTTGGTTGTTGTACATTTTGTGTGTTGCTATACTTTTTGTTGTTATTTCTTTGGCGTGATTCCCAGTTTTTTGCTAGTGTCAAAACCCCTTTTCGCTGCCGCCACTGCTTTTAGAACGTCTTTGTTGCACCTCCTGCTGTCAGCCCTTTTTGCCTTCCATTCCACTTGTTTGCCGCATTCTTGTTTGCAATGTTGTTGTGATACCCTTCTGCACAAGCGGATGTTATATGTACACATTCTACTATAATCTTTTTACCTTGAAACTACAAAGAAATCTTATTAATGTTGGTATAAATATTGCTGTTCATTAAAAGTTTCTAGCTAACAAAAAATGCAAAATAATTTTGTTTTGTTTAAAAACTCCCCATAACCAGATACTAAGCTCGGCACTAATGAATGTTTATTTGCACTCAGAAGTATAAAAAAATATAACTTTGTATATAATAGAAATATTTTAATTTACAAAGTGCTTAAGACATGTAGTATTAACGTTTTTGGTGTGATCGAAATGCCTTATTGTCTTTTGTGTTGGATACTGAAAATCCTGCTCTTTATTTTTTGTTTTATATATTCTTTTTGGGAGCCCCAGCCAACCGTGCCCTCGCATGTGTGAGTGCTTGTGTGAAAAGCAGTTTGAACACGAAATTAGACCCCTCCCCGCCCCCTCCCGCACTCTCCGATGCCGTCGCAACCAAAGTCGCCCGAGTTCCCTCAGGGAGCGCATTAAGTCGTAATAAATGCTGCCTGGTTGCATGCTTTGTACATTGACCTCAAAACGGAGCAAAGCCGACGTACCTCGCCCCCCCGCCCCCCGCTGCCCCTTCCCCTGCCACGCCCCCTCGAATGTATCTTTTTAGCTGGGATGCTGCTCCCCTTGTTTTTGTTTTTGTTTTTCTTATTGTTGCTGTTGCTTTTTTTTCGTGCACATTTTGCTAAATAGCTTCTATTTACGTTCCATGGAAAATGCAATTCGCAATTGTAGAATGCAGACTTTTTTGCCGTTTGCAGTTGTTTTCCCAGCTCGCACGCTACTTTGTCTCTACAAACAATGGCCAGAGGGCCGGGGGGACGAGGGGAAGATCAGGGGGGGCGAACTAGTTGCAGTACGTGCGCGACTTTTCGGGGCCATAAATCAAAAAGGCAAAACCCAAAGCTGGTCTCAAGCAGCTACTTTTTGGCTAAGCCGATGGTGGGGGAGTGAAAATCGCTATTAGGGGAAATTAGGTGAATAAAACTGCAGGAAAGTGTGCAGAAATAAGCTTAAATGACAAACTGGTGACGTAGAATGTGGGAAAGTGGAAATCCAATGCCAATACTGCCTTATTATTGCCGAGCTATTCACATCAACTAAGCCTAGAATGCAAATCTAAAAACCCATTTATCTTTAATTACCGCTTTAATTGGGGCTGTAAGACAGGAAGTGCACGCCAGACGGCTGTTAGTGCAGAGACTCCACTGGTCCGTTGACCCGTCCCAAGTATCCCATTTGGGGCCTGCCCCCATCAGCACATTTGTGCAACAGATGCATAATTTATGCATCGCTTACACATCTCATGTGCAAATCGACGCGCCAGAATCGCAGTGGGTAAACCCCGTTGGAAAGAAAACCAACAAACCGACAACTTAATGGCATTCTAATGCCGGCCACCAAAATCAAAATCATATTAGCCAAATGTCTGGATGTGGCGTGGCAGTTGCTGTTCTGCCGGATTTTGCATCTATTTTGTGAGCGCACTTTTGGGCCAGGCATACATATACTGAGTCGTGGCGAATTTTCATTAATTATAACGTCAGGCGGCGCGCCGTGGATGCTTTCCCCTACTCCCTTTTTGCAGTTCGGTCTACACTACAAGAAAATTTGAATGTTGGTTT